AAAAAAAGGCGATGTTTTGAACCAAAGATCTGAGAAACAAACCAGCAACGGGATCAAAAATGCGGCCGTTTTACCGGAACCTGTTTCAGCAACACCAATTACGTCGCGATTTTGTAGTCCGATGGTGATGGCTTGCCGTTGGATAGGGGTAGGCTCTATGTAACCAACCTGAAAAATTGTCTTTGAAAGTAGTAAATATCACCTAGACTTACCTTCTGTATGGCTTGGTAAACTTCATCGGGGAGGCCACACTCTTCCCAACATCTAATTGGTTTGGGAACTCGACCACCCTGAAATATGGAAGTGGAGACATAGCGAAGAGATTAGTACGAGCTTCACCTTTATAGAGATGTTGAAATCTTCGCGGAATATGCGCCAATCACGCTCTGTCATTTCGTTCAGAGGTTTCATCTTCCAGTGTCTATCATCGTGCGCAGACTTTCGCTCCTTCATCTTTTCCTTTTCCAACCTACAAATAAGCATTTTTTCGCAGCAAGGAAGACTAACGAAATGTCAAGGAATATATGAAATCAGGATAATATTATAGTTATGAGCGTTGGAACAAATTGGTATCACATTATAGAAAAGCTGCTCAGCACCTTGCTTTCTCCATGAGTTTCTCTTCTTCTGTACGCCTTTTTTCCATTATCTGCTGGTAGAAGACATTATTACTCTTCTTCTGGGCATTTACGTCGATACCAGCGATGGCTCCACGTCCAAAAAATTGCACCTGGAATGAGCATGAGTGATTTATGAGGTGACAAAGCAGAAAGATTACTTCATGCCGCTTTTGATAGAGTTTGTTGTAATCTTGTGACGTATCCTCTGATGCATCCCAGTCAAAAACGAATTTTCGCTCGTGCAGTCGTCTGCCTCTTTTCTTTTTTTCTTTCTGCATTCCAAGATAGCGTACTTTCACAGCTTCTTGGAGCTTATTCAGGTCGAAAGTGTCTTCTTCTGGCTAAACAATTTCGTGAAGTTATTTGTATTCTGTATATATCACCGACATTACCTTGTCTGAGCGAGATGTTCGCGGTTCCTTGTCCCGATCTCTCCTTTCTTTACTCCTGCTGCGGTCCCTCCGCTCTCTATCCCGACTTCTACTCCTGCCTCTTCTGTCACGATCTCTGTCCTTCTCCCTACTTCGACTTCTATCACGTTTATCACGATCCTTCCGATCTCTGGATCGGCTGCGATCTCGTCGATCTCTGCTTCGATCGCGATTTCTATCATGATCTCGGTCTCTTTCGCGTTCACGATCTGCGTTAGAAAATTCAAATTTATCCACGACAAATTATGCACAACTCACCTGTTTTCTTAGCTTCTGCTTCGAACTGTTTACGAGCTTCCTCTATCCTTCTTTGATTCTCTCTCATTTTTTCCACCTGCTCCGCACGTCGTTGGAGAGCTAGCGCTGCTCGCTCTTCTCTAGTCAGGAATCTCGGCTGAAGCAGGTTTGGAATGAAAAGCAAACCATAGTTTGAAATCTTTAAAACTCCAGCCTGACTTCGTCACCAAGCTCCATATGTAACTAGGATATAACTGTAAATAATGCTAGACTTTTTGCGGATGACCACTGCATTTAAGAAATGAAAGCGACCAGACAACAAGACATTTTCGCCTTACAAGAGTCTTGTTTCATTGTGACTTCAGCATGTTTTTCAATGTGATTTAGCGTTTGCAAGATAGTATGTAAACCTCCTAAGCGTAATGAGATCTTGTTACCACCAGAAGACACAAGCCGCGGTCAAAGTACTAATAATAAGCTCCAATTCGGTCTGATGTACGTCTTGCATTAAGTTAATATAGTTCTGAGCAAGAACTGGACACTCGCAGCGGCAGCTACCATCGGAGAATAAGCTGTAAGCGCTACATATGCCTATTCTCTGAAGATCTTTTTTTGTAGAGACAATTCAGCCGTCCTAGTATATGGTATGCAAAAACAATTCCTTGTAATAAGAAAAAATGGATGAACTTCAAAAAATGGATTCGTATTCTGAAGCGGAGAAAGCTCCACTTGATTGAGAAAGTGTGAGTAGGTGAGTATTCGGATTTAAAAGTGCCCAGAATATAGCTGATAACTCTCAACATCATTGTCAAATACTGGCTTTCGTATTTATGTGCAAATCCCATAAGTATAGCACTACGAAATGACCCGATGAACAAAAGCGCTTTGAATAAAGTACCACAAGCTAAGCTATTGCACCAAAACATACCTTCTCCTCCTCTTCCTCCGCCTTTTTCTTCCTTGCTAGGATATCTTCTAATGATGGTGGTTCTGCCATTTTGACTGAATACGTAAGTTACACACGTTTGTAATCTTATCTATCT